ATCTCCACTCGTGATCTAAATGTCACACTCCACATCCCTGGTACAAATCACCATGTACCCCTAGGCATCTATACTCCACCTAATTAAAAGAACACAACACACTGCTAATGCATCCTAACCCACTATGCATGCAAGCAATTACACCAAGTAATCCTAATGTCTCAAATTCGTGCAAATGCACATATCAAACACATTGAAATGTAGCAGATAATCATGCAACAAAATTTAGACAATCACACACATGTAGAAAGGATCACACACAGATGCATATGCAGTGACTAGGTTTACACTTAATAAACCTCACTGGGGTCATAACTCGACCCCTCAACCAAATTCGTCTCACCTCTCATCTTACCCTTCAACTTATCTTTCTTTTTGGAACAGTCCCTAATAAAGTGTCTAGACTTACCACAATTGTAACACCTTCTACCACTAGACTTGTCTCGTCCCTTGCCCTTCTTCTTACTACCCTCATCACTCGAGTCACTACTCGAATCACTACCATCTTGAGTTCTACCCAAATTTATCTGCTTAAACTTCATTCTACTCCTCATCATATGTAACTCGTCACTCCTCTTATCCTCTTTTTCAGCCTTAATCTCCATCTCCTTACTCCTAAGTGAGTCTATGACAATCTCAGGTGTTAAGGTGTCCCTACCGTACTTAATTGCATTCTTAACTTCCCTATATGAATCAGGTATGGAATTAAGCAGGATAATAGCCTTATACGTTTTAGATACCTCTTCATCACAGTTAACGATGTCTTGAAATAACTTGTTAAAGACATCCAGATTATCATTAAGATCCTTTGAAGGATCCATTTTAAAGCTGAAAAATCGTTCAAGCAAGTACAATTTATTAGGAGTTGACTTAAGCAAATATAAATCCTCCAACTTTTCCCAAAGTTATTTTGTAGAATCCAGTTTTCTTACTTTTCTCAAAACAGTATCAGACATGTGTAAAATAATTAAAGTGTATGCAAGTTCGTCATACTCTTCTTTTGTACTTCTGTTAAATTTACAGGAAATTTGCCATCTATGGCCTTTGAAACTTTTTGTTGGACCAAAATACCATTTATCTTTTGTTGTCAAATTGAAAAATCCCCTTTCCCATTAAAAATTCCAATTTCAAAACGTGAAGACATTTTTTAAAAAACTAGAACGACCAAAAGTACAGATAAGTCACACAAAGTTATCCTATGACCGCAATATGCACCGTTCTAGATTCCCAGGGTTTCGTAAGATTCACAATCTTAGATCAAGGGAATGTTCGAACGTGTCAAGTCCAGGTGCTTTAACAGGAAAATCAATACAACACGAAGGTATGTAAACAAAAGTTTGAATTTCCACGCAACAAGTCTCACACAGTGACTATATGATAGGTAAAATACAAAATCAACTACCAACTTGCAATCAAAACTCAGCACTACAAAAATAGAGCAAATAATTCCTAAAATTTCTAGCACAAACAATGGTTGCCAAGCAATAACAACCCCCAATCCTAAAGATCACCCCACACGATGATCTGCTAATGCTGAAATTTAAACTAAGTTAAGCCAATATACCAGAGCGGACCTATCTGAGTCCGTAAATTATGAGAGTTGCGAATTTATCACTTTAGGACTACCACTATTTGTCCTAAAGTCTCTGAAAACTACAACAATCAAGAAATCACGATCGAGTCTCGAACACCTGAAGAACAATGTTGTCCAGATTTTTCTGTGTACACTGAAACAGAAAACTTTCAACATGAAAAATGTCAGAAATAATATAAGGAACAAACTACGTGAAGGGACCGTCGCCAGAAAATGCTCCACGCGCCCTCATGTGCGGCTCCTTCCCTCTGCGCGTGGGCCTCACGCGCCGCCTTCGACTGACACGCACCGGCCTGCAGGGTTCGCCTCCTCCTGCATGTCACGCTAGTGGTCTCCGTTTCCCCAAACCCCTTCTGGATTGATCAGAAAATGCGAAAAACTGAGACTGATTTTAACAGGTTTTGGACAGCTTCTTCGATCTGATTTCTGCTACGTTTCTGCCGATTTTCTGGACGATTTCTGATAGATTTCACGAGCCAAAACCCTCACCTTGAAGCCCTGATACTAATTGTTGCAGAAGTTCTCTCAAAAGGATCTTCAAATGGTGGTTTTTCAAATTCAGTCCAACGCATCTTTTTCAACCAACAACCAATCCAATCGGCTCCAAACCACAACCAATTGATTCATTTTGGTTGCTATGCAATCTTACCCACGTAGGAAAAGAAAGGATGATGATTTATGGCCACAAAGGCTAGGAGAAGACACCACAAAGGTATACTATGAAAGAACCACAAATTACACACGTTATACAAGCGTTCTGGACACTTCTGGACACCTTTTTCTCACACAAAAGGGGGCAACTGGGATTCATAATTTCTTCTCTCAAAATCACACAAAACGTTATATGAAAGTGGTTAGGGTTATAGCTAAATATATACTCTAGGGTTAGGTTTTAAGTTGGGCCATTAAAGGGATAAACGGGTCAAGATTCAAACCATCCATAAGGAATACAATTGGATCGGGTGTAACTTATGGACTTGGTTGTTGGACTTATTTCATTCATCGGCCTATGCCTATGAAATAATATTAACCCACATTAACATCATAGCCCGAAATTTATTGGGTATCAAAAACCTAACATAGCGTCAGCTTATAATAATTTTTTATTCTTTATTGAAAGCTAAGAATCCAATTCCCTATCTTTTATTAGCGTTCTACTTTCTTTCTACCAGCCACCTTATGAGTCTTGAAAGTAAATACATAGAAAATTATCTCGCTCTTTTTGAACAAAGTCAAGTCATTGTAGTATTATAATTTCAAGAAATTAGTACAACAGAAGTCACAACTAATTCCCTAGAGGACATAATGACGAATTGAATCATCGTGTAGCTCAAACTTGCACACGTAATAAGTTGATCACAACGCTTTACTTTTATCACATCATTCCCTGGCTAATGAGATTTCTATACTAAAGTATAAGAATTATAATGCCAAAATGCATGTAGGATGAGGTAGGAATGTAGTACATATAGAAAGCATTGTATAAAATAGTTACTTTGTGTTCTTCACTGACACATAATCAAGATTTCAAGCACTCCATTTTCTTTAATCGATAAATGTAAACTGAGATGAAATCGGTAACTTCATATGACTTAGGTTCTTAATGCAAAGAAGTCAGGCTTTCTTCTAGGTAGAAGCACATTCCTTTTCAACAATCAAAATTTTAGATTTTTTTATTTTTTATTTATTTTTCCCTAATTGAGATAGGCGGAGTAGAAGACGGATATGGGGCAGAAACCAGTGACGAAAGGAGCTAGTTAACATAGTTGATGATTGGTTAATATTCAAATAATTTTTACATTAACTTATGATTGTAAAATTGTTAGGGTGTATCTATGTGAATAAAATGAAGTAGTTGCGTTCTATCTAATTCGATTCTATTTAAATGCTTTAACTCAAATCCTATACTTTTTACAAATCAATATTCGAGTCGAATTTAAAGATTGGTAAAGCGTAACGATATTTAGGGTACCGAATACTTAAGTCATAAAAGAAGTCTGCATTACTCTCCTTGGCTCCAAAGTAGAATCTTAAAAGAGGTTCTCATTAGGGCAGCACCATAAGTTTTATACTGTCGAAGGCCCCACAGAAATTCGATACTTTGACACTAAATGGAGAATTCTTCTCTTAGTGGCTGAACAATCAATAATGAACCACTTTGCATATTGATTTTTACTTCTCACTTTATCTTTATTCGTTCTTTAGCATCCCCAATTTTTAATTTTATTTAATTTTATTTTTTTGAATTAGTTTTGTTAATGTATGTAAATAGTATATGTTTAGCAAAGCTTTCGAGTGTTGATAAGTTGTAGATCATATAAAAATGTGAGGATATTAGGTTATGAGTCACTAGATAAAATATATGTTTGACCAACGTAAAAAAAGTAAAGCTTTACCAAACATGCTCTTAATATGATATCAAAGTTGATAAAGTAATTAGTTCAAGTCTCACGATTGTTTATTAATTAACGTACTTACATGTTAGACTGTCAATTAAAAAAAAAGTCCTATATTATGAAGAAACGTATTTAAGAAAAAAGTAAATAAAATAAATTTATCTGTTGTTTAACCACTTAAATTTTTTAGTCCAAATAGTTCAACGGATTCATAAAAATTTCATTTTTTTGAGACTAATGCAATATGTACTTTTAAATTTACGTACAATTATGGATGACTTATATAATGAATAAAATTTTATCTACTTTTTCTTTAATTATTGTTAACTAGGAGTTTATTGTCGACTTGACCAACTATTTTAAAAGTTAATTAACGTAAAGCTATTTTTAGTTTGGTTCAAACTCGAATAACTGAACCACTAAATAAAGAATAAATAAATCGTGTTTGCTTGAACTTTTCAATAATTATTAATACATTATTCCAGTCTAACTCGAATAATGTACTTGTTAAACTTCAATATAATTGTTAGATAAATATTTGCAATATCTTAGCGATCTTGATTTCCAATATTTTACTCATATTCCAGGCTAAAAAGTTGATTGAAATAAGAAAAGACCAACAGTATATGCCTAGGCAGTATAAGAGAATAAGGACGAAAATAGTAGTAAATGAAATGCTTAGTGAGTATAAAAATTTGAAGAATCCACGAGAAAATTGAAATAAGTTATAAGAAAGATATATCTCTTTTGTAGATTCTATAAAACAGTTGGATTATTGAGCATACAAGGAATAATACATCACCACTTTGGCTAATTCCTATATATAGGTCACTATAATTCTTAGTTCATTGCCATTCAAGTTGATTTAAAAACATTTACATTTATTCTTTGCTGCCAAATTGCTTCATGGCCTCCCTTCAGGTTCTTTTTTTCCACTCTCTCTTCTTCAAATAGCAAGTTTGGTAGCTCAAAAGTTCGGTTTAAGTAACTTTTTTTGAAATTTTCTTATAAGTAATTTCTTTGTTAAACACTTGAAAGTTATTATTTTCTGATTTTCAGTAGAAAACTTAATCTTTACTATTCTGATTTTAATGTCTCATAAAAAAAGTTCGCCCTCTCAACATGAAGATCCTAGCTCAGACTTTGATGGCCATCTATTTGAGAAAAGTCTACACGTGAAGCCATGAACATGACCTCTATATATGTGAGGCGACGTTATAAAGATAAAATATAAATAAATAATTTCATCCCACAGTAACAAACTTTTAATATGTTTATCATATCATTCTAGTGTAAATAATTAGTACATGTAGTATAAGAAACAAAATTTAATTTCTTTTCTTCTTTAGTATTGTCTAGTAGTATCGCGTTCTCCTTACCAAAATTGCTATCTTGCGTGATCTTTATTTACGACATATCTATGCAGGTTGATGCTGCTCCAGTGGAAGAGGTGAAAAGCCAAGCAGAACCAGAAACAAATGTATCTTCAAACGTTAAAGAACCAGAAGTGCATGAACTAGATGAATCCACAAAAACAGTGGACCCTTATGTGGAAGAACATAAAGAAACACTAGAAATTGATTCTGCGGATGAAGAAGAAGAGAAAGAAATGGGATCATTGGTCAATAAAGAAGAAGAATTTTCACCTTTTACATCTGTCGAGCCACCTGCTTGGCCTGCTGAATTCGATGAAGAAGAAGAAGAGGACGAAGAAGAAGACGAGTATATTTACAAGGTTTGATACATTCTATCAGCATGGTCATGCTTGAATGACTACTTCATATGCTGTCGACAAAAATAGTTAAGTAGCTACCACTAATCACCGTCAAATATCGTATTTCCTATCATACTTTGCTTGTACTTTTTGTTATTCTAGTAGTTATACATGTATGGTTTTATTGTAGTCTTCAATAAAGGACTAGACCCTATAGTTATGCTTCTAAGGGCTTTAGGGCATTGTAATTTTTGTAAAGCCCCTTTTTTTTTTGGTACGCGGCAGTTGATTTTCTAATTAAATTGTGCCATAATTATAAGTAAACTGTTTAGCTTTTAAGCCGTATTTAACTGCATGTTGACCATGTTAACTTATTGGAACTAGTGCTGTGTTCAATTACAAGAAGTTGATTAAGTTATTTATTTTGACAATGACATGAAAATTTCTTAAAAAGAAGTAAACTTTATTTACTAGAAGTAGAATAAATTATTTATTTTGTCAACGGAATAGAAATTAATTTAAGAAAAATAAATTTTTATTTAAAAGTTAAAAAATGTAAGAGAACAATAAAAAGTAACTAAACATTTACTTCTCTTGCCTGCAACCCTGTATCAATGTCATGGTAATTTGCTCACTATATATATGATTGATCTCCTAAGCAAGCTAAGCACCAATTATATGGCACATGTTACCATCAAATTTAATCATTTTATGAAACCCATCATTATCTTCCACCATAGTAATTCACACGCTTGAAGTTGAAGAAATTATTCGTTTCATTTATTAATTATGTGGGATCCACAGTTATTTTAAAACAATTTAATGAGAAACAAATTAATCTACGTACATTTATATTCATAAATTAATTATTTTACTTATTTACCTAAAATATTTACGTGCTTTGTTAAATCTTGTTAATTGACATTTTAAATAACTAATTGCTTAATTAATGTGCATTCATAAATTAATTATTTTACTTATTTAACCTTTCTAATAATATTTTATTGTAGTTTCCTTCATACAATATGTAATCATTTATCAAGAATCAAGTTTTTCCATGTCTAAATCCCGGTATTTGAATATCTTAATAATTTTTTTTGGCGATTTTCATGTAGTATATACAAGTTGAACAAGGGAATTTTATATGAAATATATCATAGAAATTTACACCATACAAAATGAAGTTATGTTATTCCTGATGTACATAATTTGCACAATTTAGGAATCACTTTGCAAATGCTATTCAAGAACTTAATTTCAATAAAGTAATTTTGGAATCACATTGCGCTATAGGAATAACTTTGAAATGCTATTTCATCAAGAACTTAATTTCAATTTAAAACATCCAAAATGACTTTTATTCCCAAAAAGTGCTTAAATTATGTTATTCAGTTCAATAATTTGCAAAGCAATTCCTTAATTGTGACAGAACATTAGGAATGCATTTGCGAAGTGATTCCAAAATTCAGTATGAACACATTTGCATAGGAATTTAACCATCCTAAATCAGTAGGAATTCCGATGCAAAGAATCAAGTAATTTCGAAGGATAGTGCAGAATAAATGTCATCAATTTGGAACAAAAACATCTCACATACAATAAGAAAAAAAATTCGAAAATTGAAATTTGATTCTAAATTTCCCATGACTGCCAATATTGTAGAATCTCTAAATTGCTTTCCTTCCAAAATGGTCTGCCTTGTACATTGAGAATCAGCATGAGACTCCCCAAAGCCTGGGAAATGAGAAAATATATGAGAAAGAAAATTGAGTATCTTTTGTTTATTCTTTTGTCAACAAAAAGAGTAATGTTATTTGCACCCACTCACTGTCATAGTCATCCCATGTGGCATACATGTGACGATTTGTGATTCGATGCATTAATGTAATAGTTTTTTTTTTATTACATTATACATCAAATAGCATTATTCCAACAAAAAGAACCAAATAAAAGTCCATGTACGTACAATATGACTAAAAAAAGTAGTAGTAATTGAAAAGAAAATAAAGGACTGATGATGCCCTCTTGTTATTTGCAGAACGAGGAAGCAATAAGAAAAGATTTGAAATTGAAAAATAATAACAAAGTAATAAAAAAAAACCTTTAATTAATGTTGGATAACTTCGCTTATCGTGTGATTGACTACATACTTCATATCCATAATAAACACTTTCTTTGTCCACTTTTTCTTCTTTCGATTTTTAGTAATTTTTTTCCACACCCTTCGGCTTTTGCAGAGGTTCATTGAAGATTATGTGCTCTTCAACGGTTTTTTTTGTCCCGTGGACACATCTAAACACAGTTACCAAAATTAATTTAGTTTATTTAATTTTGTTATGAAGATCTTCCAATGCATTCCTTAATAGATTAGTTCCCTCCTCAGTGAGAGATGCATCATGGACAACAAGTTACAATAATTGAGACAAATTTGAATGTTGTGACATCAATGATTGGTTAGGAATGTCATTCAATTCTCCATGATCCTTGTCCCATACTTGGCCAACTTTCGCATTTTTGGTCCACCTTTGAAGAATATATTGAGTTGGCAATGGTAAAATTTGTTTGATCTTGAAATATGCCTACATTTGCATACATGAAATTTTTTCACATTCAAATAGTTGACAACTACAAAATATAGTATCTAAAATTTTATTATAATCAAGTTTTAGACATCTAGGTGAAGAAGATTCTTCAACCTTTGAAGCTGTATAAATCACACTAGCTTCATCTTCAAATATGGTATTTATGATGTGGGCTTGACTCTCAAATATCTCATCTTGAAACGTTTGTATCTCATCTTGAAAAGTTTGAAAACATTTCTTTTATATAGATATTTGCCATTTATCCATAAGGATTTCAACCTTGGTTATTCATTAACATCACAATTGTTAGACATCAACTTCTAATATCTTTGATGTCCAAGGGCTCTATTAAAGCGTATAATAAAATCTATCAACGATTTATTTAATTATTTTTATTATTTTTATTTTTTTTGGGAAATAAACCTTGTAATAAATGAACGAGAACTTTTTTCTCTCTTACGTCTCAACAGTCTTACTGCAATAATATGCTTAACAAGTGCAGGGACATATATTATGCATCTCATATATTTGGCAAAGCCAGTATGATCTTCTAGTTTAGTTGATTGCAACATATTCATCCAACTAGTTTCCAACTCTTCATCATTCGCTGAGTTTATAATGTGATGTTTATATTCAAAATATTAGTTATCCCGATGAATTACTGTATTAAGCTTTTCCGAAAATTTGTTATGAATATGCAATATACAATAACAATGAAATGTATTTGGAAGAACTTATGCAATTGGTAGGTCATTGTAGGATCTTGGTTCGTAATGAACATTTGGGGTACACCTTTTGACATATCACCCTCACCCAATGAGATGAGGTCACCTCGGGACTTGAGGAGGAAAGAGAGAAAAAATCAAAACCCAATGTGCTTTTACCTCATTGAGTGGGGGTGGGCCATCCGACGAGGTGGCAGCTGCCCATTGGATGGTCGCACCACGTTGGACGATGCGAATGTCTCACCAAAGTTTTTCTCGCTACAAGGACAAGTTCACATAAACCCTGTCGATAAGCCTGTCAAGCCTTGGAAATCAACTATTTCTTAAACATTAAATATTGTGTTTTTCATAGACCTTTTTTCAATTGTTCACTCCTCCGAAACTAAATTAATGTTTGGCTCTCATTTTCTAAAACTTTTTTTTTTCAAATTTATTTTTAATCACAAATTCTCCCAATAAAATAATTTTATACATGAACTTGTAACTTTTCCCATTTTTAACCACATATTCACCAAAAAATTCACTTTTCATAATTTCTATTCTTAGAACATATCTACCAAAGATGAGCACGGTAGTAGTTTCTTTCTTGTTTGTTGGCACACTTTAAATTGTTCCATTATGAATTTTGAAGATTTTTTATGATTTACTAAGCCCCTATTTTATATTTTTGTAATATATTCACAATTTTTGGTGCAAGGCTCGCCTTGCAAATGAAAGACGCCTCAGTACCCAATTAAACCTTTTTAAAATTGATTCCAAATTCGGTCAAAATTACCTTTATTGAGCCAACTAGTCGATGAATACCAGCGTATAAAAATACATTTGTAAAGAGCAATTTCAATCAAAAGCAAACAAAAACAATAACAAGTACAATGAATAACATCCTGAATTCAGGTTGCTTCAAGGTAAATATTGTATAGGACTGACACTACAGTTTAAGGACTCCAACTTTAAGTTCTATAAAGATCGTAAACCAGATAAAGAATTGTAAACTTACATAAAAAATAAAAAATAAAAAATAAAAATGCTTCTAGAGGACTGGAACTAAGTAAACTAACCTTTTTCTCTCAATCTTCTCTCTCTGTCAAAATAAAATTTATCACGGATTTGGCCAAACTTTTCTCAGGTATCATGTCTCCTATTCCTCCCCAGACCTTGATCCTGCAATTAAAAGTTAAAGTCATATTGACATACTATAATATTAGATTTAACTCCAGCATGTTTCTGTCGCATAAATCTCTCGAGAAATCTTGATTCCGGGTTCAAAAAACAACCAAACAAATACCACTTAACCTCAGCACGACCCAAACCTTTTAACCTTCACTTTGGTTGTTCCAAGAATTCTCAAACCCCACAAAGGGGAATGGATGACGTGGTAATAGGGAGAAGAAGAGGCAACAATGGTGGGAATCACTCCAACAAACACCCCAAGTTGGCTGCCTCTCGACCCTATCTTTCTCTCGGCCCTCTCTTCCACATACACACACACACCCCACCATAAGAAACGGCTGCTGGAAGAGATGGATATATAATGGGTATTAGGCCACAATTAATTGGGCTTAACTTATTCATTTATGGGCCAAAGATATATCTCTCTCAATAGGTTAAGTTAATGGACCAACAATAATCCAAAACCACATATTAATCAAAGAGGAAATTAGGCCCTATACCCCATAAAAATAAGTATTTTGACTAATACCTTTTAAACTAATTAAATATTTTAATCAAGTAATAATTACGTCCTATCATATCCTAAACTATTAACTAAAACTCCAACCTAAAGTAACCCTATAGAAACCCACTTATCCTCCTTAGAAACGCTCCACTCCAGAGGCGATTTCCCCAGCTCTGAGAAACCTCAATCTGAAATCTTCATTTTTCTATCAATTTCATCTCTGTCTTCCTTCGTCTCTTCGTCTCTTTGTCTTCAATCTTCTCCTTCTCATTTTGTAGAGATCTTAAACACCGACCCTAAAAACTTCAAATTGTCAAAACCATAACATGTTCTAATCAAAAT